TGATGAATGGGGAATACTACTCCCCGGATAATTTCCTCTTCAACAAATGAATTTTGAAGGAGGAATTTTAGACATAGTGTTACTCCTGCCGAGATTTAAGGCCAGGCAGACATCTGGCACCATGATGTCATAGGTGTAGTGCATGACTATACCTTCAACCCTTGTTGACAGTAATCTTCTCTGTGGGCTCTGGGATGCTTGGTAGAGCACAGGTCTCTATCAAAGCACGTTAGCACTATGAAACAGTATTTGGACGGTTCTTTCAGTTGATATAAAAAGTCAAAGAAGATAATCTAACAGGCCTTGCCCTCAGTCCCAACATAAGCCACTTTTGAGTAAATAATATCTAATGGTTCTTTTCTGAACCCTTAAGAAAAATCAGGAAATTTGAGTTGGAAAAAAACCCCAAAAAACAAACAAAAAAAAACCACAGAGAGTAAATAACATATATCACAAGCTATTTCTTAACCCCTTAATCTTTATGTCCCAACTAATGGAAAAATTAGCTTCTTATACATGAGGGTGATGTTCACTCATTCTTCTTACTAGGTAATTATTCGCTCAGCCCAAGAAGAAAAAGGCCAATATATTCTATCAGGGAAGAGCTAGTTTTTTTCAGGCAGGCTAGGCATTGTCTGAACATTGGGATAGAATTTCAATCAGCCATCAAATGAGCTAGTCTTACACAAAGATTGGATGGAAAATGTCGCCATTGGGAAAGAATACCAAAATGGTTGTTAGCCATAATAGGAAGCAGAGAGGAAACGGCTAAACAAACGGGGCATGTGCAGGGTTCAGTTCACTCCAGATCATGTGGAAAGGGAAAGTGGAAGTGGAATTTCTCAGGAACTCTCCAGAATGACTGCACAAAGACAAACGGGACGAAAGAAAGAATAAGCAGACCAATGCTTACACTATGTTGCATTGTCTTCCAGACAGTCCTCTGGGAAGCAAGAGGAAAACAAATTTAAAGGAAAAAGAAAAAGAGATTATTCTATACATAATAGCATAGCACAGGTTTAACGTTTAGCTCTGTAAGTTGGCATGTTACCCACCCCCACCCCCAATGCCCCCAGCATGACCAGTAGAATATTTGAAAAATCCACACACACAGTAAAATGTTGAATACTTACTGGAGATTAATTGACCTAAGCCATCGTCAACTTGATGAGTTAACTTCCAAGTCTGGCTTTTGAAAAATGTTTATTTTGGTAAGATAAAGTCCTCTAAGATACATAATTGAAAGTGCATATTTTGCTCTAGTGAATTGGTTTGAGAAAAGTCACAGAGACTCTCTGCCCAAACATGCTTGGCAGCTAGATGTACAGAATGCTGTGCTCTAATCTTCTGAACCGTACAACAAATTGCCTTTTACAGAGGATCATTTGAAATGCCTCTGTATGCTCATCGTAAAAATCAAGTTATTTTGTGCGAATTTATTTTTGTATTTGCTATTTCCAGGGAATTGAAACTTTCTTAAGAAATCATAATTTTGCATTAAATTACTTAAGAGTCTGGAATATAAATTTAAGGAAAAAGGAAGAGAACTATTCTCTTCCTCAGTGCAAATAGGCCTCTGCCCTACTTAACTGAGAATCATTAACAGTGTCAGCTGGGACAGAGGGGTGCTAAAGTGAAGGTTGGAACACGTTGGTTGGAACACACTGCTAACTGAATTAGTTAATGGCATTTGTGTCCTCAGCAAACCCAGGCTATTGACCGTTAGGACTGGGAGATTCTCAGATGAGTAGGCTTACCATCAGCAGCTGAGCTTAAACAAATTTACTCGTTCATTCTTTCAAATCTGACTACCTTAACTGCTTCTTCTGCCCATATAAATTTCAAGGAACAAATGGAAATGTTTCCTAATGAGAAAAGCAATTGACATGTTCTTTATAGATACAATAAGAGGTTAAGTGGTAATGTATTTTTTAAGAGAGAGTTCTGTTTCCAATCTCTTTATTTAGCAGTGGTTTGCCCAGCTTGGGATTGGGAGGTTCATATTTAAAACAAGCCACATAATTAATAGTTTACATAAGAACATTTACCTACAGATTCCAAAGTTAATGCCATAAATACTAATTTATATACTATTAAAAAGTAACTCTCCAAAAGCTTTATAGGTAAGTTATTTTCAGTTTAGCAAAAGAAGAGGGGTGATTAGGGTACCCTTTGGAGGCTGTCCTTCGAAACACTTTTCTCTGTTGAAACACTTAAAGAAATTAAGGGAAATCTTTCCCAGTTAGCCTCTTTTTCTGGGACACAGTGCTTCTTATAAATATTTGGAAAACATCTTTTGAGGGGAAAGTTAAAACAGAAGTAGGTACATGAGCCTGTTTACACAGTCCAGTGGGCTGTCATGGACAGAACCCGCTGGATCCTTCACCAAGATGCCTTCCTGAGGGTGGTCACATCTAATTTGCACAGCAGCCCGGCCTGGGTAACTGTCCACCTTCCCACGGCTCAGATCTATCTTAAACCTGGAAGGGAAGAAGGTCTTGGGGGAGCCAATGGCTGCAAACGGAGGCTGATCCTAGCTTGAGGCCTAAGTCCTGTCTCTCAAGAATAACCTTGGTAGACAGAGCTCCTTTCGATGCAGAAATAGCCCCTTGCTCTTAAGAGCTGAGAAAAGTAACTCCTGGTGGATTATGTCTAGCTATGGGTTACAAATTGCTAATTCTTACCACTTGAGAAGGATTCAAATTTAATTCAATAAAAAATGAATAAAATCCCAATGCTCACTTAGAGCCTCAAGCCACACCTATGAGGAAGTAAATACTACACGCTGTCAGAGAACGTTATAAAATAAAATTGGCTTATTGATCAAATATTTATGCACTCAGTCTGGTTCATGGATTTTACTCATGATCATATGATTAACCTTTATCAATTATTTTCAGAAAATAAAATGATGAAAAAAATACATTTTTCAGGTATATAAAAATAGAAGATCTTTAATCATTTTGCTGTTTGCCAGTATGCTTTGAGATTTTTATATTTGGGGCATTTTGAAAGTTACCAACGAAGTTCTTTTAGAGATGGTTTGAATTCCAATTTTCATATGTATCGGATTTTAAACATCACACAAAATTCTCAAAATGTTGATACTTAGGTTGTGCTAAATTACATAAATATTGTTTTCAGAAATCTATTTCCCCTGTTTAAGGGTGTATGTTTATTTCTCTAGAGGATAAGAAAAAAACTGTGCTCCTCAGTTTCAAAGGGAAAAAATTAATTGTCTTGGATATCTTTACATTGTTTAAATTCAATGCAATTTTAACCGAGTGCTTAGGTAGTTGTCTTGGATATCATTACATTGTTCGAATTCAATGCAATTTTAACCGAGTGCTTAGGTACCCCTGTTATTTTCTTAAAAATTTATTTTATTATGGTAATAACACTTGACATGAGATTGATCCTCAGAACAGATTTTTAAGTGTGTAATACAGTATTTTATCTGTAGGCACAGTTAGTGCATTGGATCTCTGGAACTTATTCACCTTACCTGTACCCTAGTTCTTAAATGAGATCGTACATAATTTGTAAAAGCCTGAAATGTTCTAATAGCTAACTTGGAGTCAAATAATAGGAGAAAAAAAGAGGGTCAAACCTATACTTACCATTTGTGCTTCTAGTCAGAAAGATGCACAAAGCAATTTGTAAAGTAAGACCTAAACAGCGAAATCTAAAGAAAACCATCATTTCTTTGAAACAATTGGCTAATCGTTGGACAGAATATACTTGTTTATTTAAAAATAAAATAGTGACTAATTTTAAACTTTTACTGACACTGTGATAAGAGAACAGATATAAAAGCAAGGTAAAGTAGGTTGAAACAGTGACTGCCATGATACCTTTTCCAAAACCTATACTGAAGAGGAAGTTTTATTTGCTAATAAATTTATAACATAAGTCGGCAGTTAATGACTTTTGCTATCCCTTGGACGCTTCAAAGATTGCCTTTATGTTGTAAGTACATTTAATTTTTATAGAGAGAAATGCTGAGATTTACTTACTTTTACGTACTTACTTTGAAGACAATCCTAGCCCAGTTAATCGTATGAGTGCTACCCTACTGAAGGATATTAACTAAAATCATAAAGTACTTTATAAGAGTGACTAATAAAAGTATTTTCATAACCAGCAACCCTTTGAGATCTAAGTTTATATGATACAGTCGAATGTGGTTCAAGTGTTTTATAATTTTAAGGGTTTTATTTGTTAATTTTACAGCAAGATAATTGGCAAAGCAATGTTAACAGCACAAACAATTATAGGTCTATAAAAGGCTTATAGTACTGTAAATTGAAGATACTGAATTGAAAATGACCAGGCAGTATTTCTTGGAATTATGATCTTTAGTTTCTTATAGCAAAGTTTGTTTTTTAGAACACATTCCAAAAATTGGTTTTCTATGTTTCTGATTACATTCTAGCAAATTGTTTTGATGATAGATACCATTCAGTCTCCTGACACATATTTAAATAGCTCAGAGAGTAACTATTTCTAAAGATTTCCACTTTTTTAAAGACATGTAAAATTAAAAAAAACTGTGTTACTGACATTGATTTGGGATTTTTGCCAGGCTTTCCAGATAAGAAATTTTGCATATAAGTGGAGGTTGTAATAAAGTCACACTATCATAACTGAATAAATAACCATTTTAAGAAAAGAACCTAAGCAGATGAATGTGCTATTGTAATTACATGTCTGAAAGAACTGGTAACTTCTTTTTCAAATTAATATTTCAGAAGAACGAAGTTGAAAATTTGGTCCTTGCATGAGTGGATTAATAGGTATAGGATTTCTTAAATAATCCAATTTGTGATCTGAAAGAAAGGTCCCATTACTTTTCCATATTCTAATTATGAACAGGAGCAGATATAAGAATGAGATGACTTTTATAACCAACTTTTTCTTCAGAATCCTGTAAGGAAATTTGAAGAATGACCTTGCTAACAGAAAGCCTTCACTGTGGTAATCAACCCGAGAGTACTCACCAGCCGGTCCAGACTAGTGCCTGCAGCAGTTGTGGGTCTTTCCTCAGGATTGTAGGGCCTGAAACGTGTATTAAAATTTTCAGGAGCTGAGCGGGCAGATCTGAGCGCTGGAGCAGGCTTGGGTTGGCCACATCCCTGAAAGACCTGAAAGAATCACTGAAAGGTCAGGAAAGCTCTTATACAATGTGTCTCCTCCTAAATCGTGATGCAGAAGCATGCAACACAGTGCAAAGGCTTTCATATTTTTAAAAATGTTTATTTATTTCTTCTATGAGTGAGAGACAGAGAGAGATAGCACCCCAGTGTGGTCCCAAGGCCAAGATCTGCCCCCAGACTCGGTCAGCTGTGGATAATCGTAGGCAGGTGCATGCCAGGTGTACTCAGAGAGGTCTCCTGACGTAAACCTAGAACCTTCCCATGTGGATCAGGTTTACAGAGTGTTGCATTCTACCACTGTGCCCTTGCCTGGTCTGCCTTTCACATTTTTCATGGAATTCTAACCTCCAATAAGCTCTAATTCTAAAATTTAAACTAGTACAACCACTGATAGAACAGGAAGAATTACCAAGACAGCTGCAGAGTCATCAACTCTATGCCCTGACTTAGATTCACCATATATTATACCATTAACCGTCATTATTTGAAGATTCCATATTTGTGAATCTGCCTGCTGCACTAAAATTTTCTAGACATGGGCAGAGTAGCAAGAGTTTACAATCTCCCCACATATATGTTCCCAGCTGAGTTTGCACAGGCAACGTTCTGCTTTCGTATTTCATCCTGGAAACACGTGTCCTTTCTGTGGTCTATTTAGTACACATTTTCCACACTTGTATGCTCTTTCCTTGGTAATTTCACTCTTTAAAATGGCTCCTTTGCATAAGGCTGAAGTTCTGTTTAGTGTTCCTATACATGTAAAGGTGTGATTAATCCTGTGGAGAAACTGTGTTAGATAAACTTCGTACAAGTCAGAATTTAGTATGAAGAACTCAGTGTTAATGAATCAACAGTATAGATTAAATAAGGTGTCTTCAAATGGGAACAAACGTAAAACTAGCTATGTATTGATTGGTTGACAAAAATGTTGTAACCAGGGACTCACAGGAGCCTAACCTGTGGTGTTTTCCATAGAAACTATTGTTTAGTATTTGCTAATTCAATGTTTGCATTAACTTTTTTTAGTTTTTTTAGTTTTTTTTTTTTTTTTTTTTTCTGTAGGGTATGTGTGCTCGTCAGAGAGTAGAGAGAAAGAGAAAGAGAAAGTGAAAAATCTTCTCCCCATTCCAGGGAATGGCCATACTTCAATCTCTTCTTCCCCATTCTCCTCCTAGAATTTTGGGGATGTTTGCACATGTCCCTTGGGTTTCAAGCCACTGGGTCTGGGACTGATGTTTGCACATGCCCCTTGGGTTTCAAGCCACTGGGTCTGGGACTGAAACCATGATCAGCCATATGGGAATCCAACCACCTTAACTACCCCACCCCCTGCTGGCCCCTTGAATAACATTGTGGAATGTAACTACATGAATAATGAGAACTGACTGTATTGAAAGTAGAGATTGTAATAGTTACTCTATGGGTGGATTTCAGGATTAGATGACACTGTAATGTATACTGGTGATTGTTCTACTCTATGATTATATGAGAACAATGTACATTCAGTAGCAACTGTACTTTAAGCTCTGAATTTTGATCTTTTTCTGGGCTAGTGATATGTGGTATGATAACCCTTTCCTAACGCTGGGCACAGACTGTGAACCGCAGCTCTCAATCAGGTGTGTGATCTTGAGGATAAATAATCAATACTCTACAGTGCAGGCTAGGTGAAATTGTGATGATCAGAAGATTAGGTGCATTAAATGCATTTTTGAATTAGATATTTTCAACTTGTGATGGGCTTATTGGGACATAACCCCATTCCAAGTAGAGGTGCATCTATACTTTTGTCATTCAGTAAACATCTGTTTGGGATACTTGTTATCATGACAAATGCATTTCATGTACAGGACATAAGGTCGAAGAATCTGAGTGACTCTCCTTTGTAATGAAAAATCTCTACTGCAAAAATTCGTTGAAAACAGTCTCTTGAGCAACGGCGTAGAAATAGGACAAGCAAATGCGGATGAAATCCATATAATAGTTTCCTCTCATTTTGTTGTTGACAGCTGTTCATGTCACAATTAGGGTTGCAGTGGGAAATCACACATTTTATTGTAATGATCTTAGGGACTGAGCTGCTAGTTCTTCTCCAGAGTGACTTCATTAAGGGGGTGTGGGGGAACTTCCTTTGCCATCTTAATTGAGCAACAGCGTAGAAATAGGATAAGCAAATGTGGATGAAATCCATATAATAATAGTTTCCTCTCATTCTGTTGTTGACAGCTGTTCATGTCACAATTAGGGTTGCAGTGGGAAATCACACATTTTATTGTAATGATCTTAGGGACTGAGCTGCTAGTTCTTCTCCAGAGTGACTTCATTAAGGGGGTGTGGGGGAACTTCCTTTGCCATCTTAAGAAACTCAACATTCTGTTCTGGGCTTCAAGAAATGATATCTCTTTGCTAGAATTACAAGAAATATGGTAGCATTTTCAGAAATTTTTGATGAAGTTTTATCTCTCTATTTCTTATATATTTCTACATATGAGATGGTTCTTCCCCTACATGCTTTTTTTTTTGAGGACTATTTATATAAGCTAATTCTTAACCTGTATATGTATATTTAGAATACATTCATTCCAGTTTTGTTATTTGATTCTGTTTGTTAGTTGTTCAACTCTAAAATAAACATCTTCATCATGCATATTATGTCACTCTACTAGAGTGTGTAGAGAGCTCTCCAGTGTCCTTCCCAATGAGAAATTCCATCTTGAGACACAATTCATTGTCTTTTACCACTCAGCTAATTTCTCTTTTGTTGTATTCAAAAGTTCTCCTTCAACTCAGCATTTTGCAGAGCAGGAGTACTTTGTCTTGGCATTCCTAGAGATTGGTCTTAACACACTATTGATTATTCTTCGCTCACACAATTTTTGAAGTTGATGGTGTAAACCAGTGTGATAAAGATAGTGGGCCCTTTTCTCCCTAGCCCCTAAATCACTTCCCCCTGGCAAGGTCGTTGCTGATGGAGGGCATTAACATTTCCAAAGCTCCAGGGATCTGTTGAGCGTTCTATTCTGGACTGCTTTGAAAATGACAGCTGACTTTTGAAAAATAGAAAGCCTAAGGGGAAACGTTAGTAATAGCCTTGTTGTGATTTTGTCAAGCTCCCACACTGAAAGAGTTAACAGACCTTAATTCATCCTTTGGTAAAAATCTGGCTCACTGGGTTAACTTAAAGGAACCTGGAATGCTCTGAAAAAAATATTAGTATTCTGGTGAGATATTTCATCATAACAGAAAAACTTTCCATTTGTTTGCTTTCTATTTGTTTTGTTTTGGAGGGCGTTAATTATCTCAAAACATAGGTTAGTTAATATAATCCAATTGCTTTCTGTTATTTACATTGGGTTCGAATTTAGAAGATAGCTCCAGTGCAGAAATTGCTAGGTCATGATCTACACTGAAGAAAACACTGACTTCTAATTACCTTGGAAGCAACACCTAGCCCAGTAGTTAGGTAGAGACCTACATGCATACGTCAGAATAGCCTCCTATCTTGAAGATCCCTAACCAGAGAGTCTATAATACTGTAAGAAAAATAGATTTGTCAGAAAAGAAACCCTTTAGTGTAGAAGTTCTAAGCCTGGAGATCAAGAGCTATTTTTCAGAATGTTACAAAACCTAATGGGAACACTGGCACAAGAGTTTTGGAGCACCGACTTGCCCTAATTTTGCTTGAAAATGATCGAAAACCCTTGTATTAGTCTCATACAGAGATTTATGTTTTTAGAGCTTATTTATTTCTATGAGAGAGACAGAGAGAAAAACAGGTATCCTCAACAGAGTCTTCATGCATGATCTACCCCCAGTCTCAGTTGGCCTGGATTGTACGCACACATACATCAGAGTGCTCAGAGAGGTTATGGGAAGTGAACCCAGGACCTTTCCCATGTGGCTCCAGTTGCAATGCCTCTATTCCACTGCCTTGTCTCTAGCCAACAGATCTCAAACCACATATATCCAACATATCACTTAGATGATTTACAGAGTGAAAACAGTCATTTTTAATACATGTGCTACACTCTATTTGTGTCTGCCCTAATGTCATAAATTGAAACCTGATCACTAATTTGACAGAATTAGGAGGTAGAGTTTTGGCAGGTGATGAAGCTCTGGTCCTCATGAGTAGGAAGAGAGGAGACCCAGAGAGCCCCCAACACTTCTACCACGTGAAGACACAGTGCAAAGGTGTGAGCTACAGACCAGACGTCAAGTCTACTGGACCTTTGATCTTAGATTGCCCAGCATCCCAAACTGAGAGAAATAAATTTCTGTCAGTTGCATACCAACCAGTTTATGGTGATTTTGCTATAACAGCCTAAACAAGGGAAGAGGACATGCAATCTGTTAGCTAGGAAAAAAAATATTTTTAAAACAGGGAGTTCATGGGGTAAGTGGTAAAAGGAATTCTTTTTTTTTGGGGGGGGGAGAGGTTTTTGCTATAGGGCACATGCGCTTGCCAGAAAGGCAGAGAGAGACAGAGAGATAGAAAGCGAGAAATCACCCCCCAGGGGGGATGGCCACGCCACAATCTCTTCTTCTCCATTCTCCTCTTGGTATCTTGGGCATGCATGCACAGGTGCCTGGCATGAGTTTAAGCCAGTGGGTCCAGGACTCAAACTGCGGTCAACTACATGGGAGTCCAGCGACATAGTCATTATGCTAACTGGGGGCCCCGTAAAAGAAACTCTTGTGCAGAAAATTTGGATCATGTAAATTTTCTAAGGATGTTACAGTAACAGTATAGTTGGACAAAATTTTGTAGATCTTGAGGCCCAGAGCTAGGTTAGTATAAAAGATCAATGAGCCTTTTTCCTGGTGACCTGGGTACCTCGATATTTTGTATTCTGAATAAGGGAACAAATAGATAAGGAATAATGCAAAGGAGAAGACCTTAGGTTAAATGAGAGTCAGTCAAGTTATCAAGACTGGAAATGCAGCTTCAGATGATAAGCCTAACATGGTATAAACAGCTCTGAAAC